AAGACCGGGGGCCCCGGAGCAAAGCCACCGCCTGCGAGACCAGGGAGACGGAGAGCAAAGCCGCTGAGCATGCCCGCAGGGGGACAGCCCAAGTGCGCCTGGGCTGTCTTGCTGCGGGCGTGCTCCGCGGCTTTGCTCCTGTCCCCCTGGTCTGCTGGGGGGGTGCAGCTAGTGCCCCCCCAGCAGACCAGGCTTTTCTTGCTTACCCCTGGGGTAGAGCAGCTGGGGGCTGCTGGGTTGGTCCTGCAGCGCTGCTCCTCGGCGCTACTGGACCAACCGGGCAGCACCCCAGCTGCTCTTCCCCAGGTGTCCCCAAGTCAGCCGCTGCTTAAACTGATCAGCGGCTGACTACAGGAAGCCCGAGGCAGAGTTGCTTGGATTTTGTTACAGAGAATAGGTTTCTGAACAGGAAAAAAAAATGTGTGTGGTATGTGCACATATGTGTTTAAAAAAAAAATCCAAAAACTGACCCTTTCTGTTTGTGGTTTTGCTGCAGGCATATTTTGAAAATGATCACTGGGTACGATATTTTTTGCATACTGGTCATTTAACGATTGCTGGCTGTAAAATGTCTAAATCTTTAAAAAACTTCATTACTATCAAAGATGCACTGAAGAAACATACAGGTAAAATCTTATTTATGGAAGAAACTCTTTTATGAAGTTTGTAAAATATATTTTAAAGACAATTAAGTCAGGAAAAGTAGCAATTTAAAAAAAGTTATAAATTGAATGTTATTTCTTTTGTACATTTCCTGATTAAAAATCAGATTTGACACACTTGGGTTATTTTAGGTTAGTTGTTGCTGGGGCTTTTTGTAATTGAATTTATGCTTTACAGTATTTTTTTAGTATATAGTATAGTAATGTATGGGGGAAAGCATTGGAATACTCACTTGATTTTGCTTGTAAAAGGATGGTTAGTTCAGCATTTAAGACATTAAATAGTCTAGGTATTGGTAGTCATGGATTCAAGTCCCTACTCCACCTCGTAATTCCCATGTGATCTAGGGCAAGTCTCTTATGTCCAGATTTTTCCAATGTGTTTTACCTCTTAAAAATGTAGGATTTTTAAAAGGCCTTTGAAAATCCCACTAGACACCTATCCACTTCTTTCTGCTTCTGAATACCTTTATAGATACGGCCCTTAGATTCTCTGTGCCTTAGTTCTACATCTGTGAAGTGGAAACAGTAGTATTTCCCTACCTCACAGTGATTTGGTAAGAATAAGCACATTAAAGACAGCAAGGTGCTAAGATACTATCATTCTGGGGACCATATACATGTAGTATATTTTTCTACATTTCTGCTTATAGTATATTTATATAAGTATACCATATAAATGTAGTATACTTCACATCTTCATTTTAAAATTCCTAATAGCACGACAATTACGGCTGGCTTTCCTGATGCACTCTTGGAAGGATACCCTGGATTATTCAAACAACACCATGGAATCAGCTATTCAGTATGAGAAGTTCCTGAATGTAAGCAAAGTTTTTTTTTTCATCTTCCTTACTTTATAAACTTTGTGCTATTAGATACCCCAATAATGCAAACCAGTCTCAAAAGGAGCTAAGTACACTCAATTCCTTTGAATTCAGTGGAAACTGAGAGTTCCTAACACTTCTCAGGTTGTATTCAGTATCTTACACGACAGAGCCCATTTTTGTATTACAGGCAGTCCCCGAGTTACGCGGATCCGACTTATGTCGGATCCGCAGTTACGAACGGGGCTTTTCTCGCCCCGGAGGACGGGAGCGGCGGGACGCCCAGATGCGCCGTGGTCCGCCGCCCCCGTCCTCCAGGGCGAGAAAAGCTGCTCCCCATCTCTCTGGTCTGCAGGGAGACGGGGAGCAAAGCCTTGAAGCACGCCCGTAGCGGGACAGCCTGGGCGCGCTTGAGCTGTCCCCCTGCGGGCGTGCTCCGCAGCTTTGCTCCCTGTCTCCCTTCAGACCAGGGAGACGGGGAGCAAAGCCTCGGAGCACGCCAGCAGTGGGACAGCCGCGGCGCGCCTCGCCTGTCACGCT